GTCAATTTTTCAGATAAATGTGTAGATTTCATTATTGTTGTTTACATTTATTCACTTGTAAATTATTTAGATTCTAAAATTTCATTTCTCAATCTATCAAGATCTGAAATAATCTCTTAAGAAAATTTATTAAATCTTTAAGAATAACCATCCATTTCTCCTTAAAGTGAATTTATAGATTGCATATGTTTATCTAATTCTTTATTATCTGCTTTTTTATTTAATTATTTTGTTACTCCATCAACTTATTATTTCATTTCAACCATCATAGAATTATTATCTTACAATCTAGATTCCACAACATTCTTTAATTCTTATTATTATTCTTTAATAACTTCTAATTGATGTATTTCAGCCTTATTTTATAATGAATTAATTAGAATTGAAAAATCTTATCTATCAACTTTAACTTCTAAAATTGAAGCAATTTTATCAATTTAATCTAAAGAAGCTTTTTAATCAAGATTTTAGATGATTGGTTATAAATCTTCTAAAGAAGAATAATTTTATAAAATTTAATCTAATTCTTATTTACTAATTTTTTTATTTACTGCCTATTGTACTTAATGTTTACTAGCCTTTGTTTCAAGTAATTCATTCATTTCTTATAAATTTGCTTTAAGTTCTACTTATTAAGATAATTATGAAAAATCTTTCATACTAGGTACTTATTAAAATTTCTTAGATATTTATGTTTATAATTCTTCAATTTTGTGTTTCATATTTTACATTTCTCCTTTAAATTCTCCTGATTATTATTTCTCTAACAATTATTTCATCTCATCAACATCAATTTTACTAAAAAAATCATTGAATAAATACAATACTTGCTTAATAAATACTACATATCTGCCTTTAAAACATAATCCTTTAATAAAACTTAAGAATCTTCATAAGTAATTTTAGTATCAAGATTAGCAGCTATCTCTGCTATCGTTCTTGAGATATCATTGATATTGGCTTTAAGTGCTAACCCTGAATGAAGTTCATTTTTAGAAGCTCTTGTAGAAAGTTGCTTTTCCATTTCTCTTATACTTTCTCCTTATGATTTTACAACATCCGTTAAAGCCTTAAATGTTAATCTGATAATATCATTGATATTTTTCCATTCTGATTAAGACTATTGTTAATATTAATGCATTCTACCTACAGCAAATCTTCTACGATGGCTGTACTATATGGATCATTATCATCTCTGTGATGCATAATTTAATTTTGAATTTCAGTTGATAATTAAATATATTAAAATTCATTATACTTATTCTACAAATACACCTTACTTAAGTTAAAAGATTTTTCTTAATATATTCTAATCTATATATATATTAAGAATAATATAATCATAGTAATTCATTCACTCTTTAATTTAGTCTTCTGCTAATCTTATAGACTGATTTGATTATAATTGAGATCCCATACTTTCATCTTCATAATCATTTTAGAGTTCCAACAACATGGCAGATTCCTTTTGTAAGAGTAGACTTGCTATTAATAAAGGCTTAACTTTTTTCTCTATTCCAGATTATTACAAATGTGAAGACAATTCTTAAATTTTCTTTTATAAAGTGTCTATAATTTGTCTCCATTAATCTAATCTATCAGCATCAAGTAGAACTATCTAATCAAATCTTTATTCTATAACACCTCTAATAGTTGGCCATGAATCCAATAATTTTTAAAACTTTAATAAAATGTTAAAATGATTACTTAGCTCATAATTTCAGTCTTTTATCCCTTAATTTATAAGAATTAATTTTAAGCTTCTTCTGAAAATAAACCAAATTCAACACAAACAACAGCAAACTTTTCAAATGAGAAATTCTATTCTCCTTTAACTAGTAAATCAGCATTTGCAAAAAATATTTCAGAAATCTATTCACTACTTAAACGATCAGGTTCAATATGACGTAATAATAGAAACCATTCTTCAAAATTACACATTCCATTTCCATCTATTATTAATTTATATTTATAATACCTAAATCACATGCTGCAAAAGCATTTATAACATATTCTTTTGCTCTACTTACTAATATTTTATATTTAGCAAATAACTGTATCATAAATTAATCAAAATCAATTAAATGTTATTTATTTACTTATTTAGGATCATTTTCTTTAAGTAAATCTAATTCTTTTTTTAACTCTTCTTTCTCTTCAGATGTCATTCTAGAATCTGCAAAGATTCCTATATATTATACTACCCTTAAATAAGGAACCATATATCTAAGTTCTTAATCTTAATCAGTATTCAGAATACCCAATTATGAAACATTTGTTATATAATCATATGCTTCTAAATAACGTTTGAGTTCATCCAAATTAAAATTAACATAAGTATCAAAAAGATTCAAAAATTTTGCAAAATTATTAATCCTTACAATACTTTTATAGTGTTTAACAGAAACAACTAAAATTAAAAATTTTTATTCAGCTATCTTTTTAATACCAAATTGAGATAGAAAATATGAATAAACAAATGAAGCTAAATCTTATTCTTTAATATTACTATTTTCCTTTTATTATGAAATTCTATCAGCATATATAACATTAATCTATTTTATTAATAATTTAAGAGGCATAAAATGTTTAATTTTAGGTAATTATTTTTGTTTAATTTTTTCAATAAGCATAGGTCCAGCATTTTATTTTTAGAATTCATATACTACTGTAACTTTTTATCCCAATTATGGTCCTTTAAAAATTAATTTAGCCTATGTCATCTTTTTAGCATCTCTCTTTCTAACAGTTATCTTCTATTCAGATTTTAAATTTTAACTTTCTAAAAATTATTCTATTTATTTCTATTCTTTTTTTATCTATTCCTTACCACATGCAACATTATATAAATCAGCTTCACTAAATAAAGATAGTTTTTTTTTCATCTCTTCAATTTACTCATTCAAAGATTTTATTGAATTTTGCATCTCATTTAATTTTTAATCCTTTTATTTGTTTTACATTTCAGCACCAGATAATAATTCTATTAGAGTCTTCACTTTTTCTAAATCTACTTACTATATATTATGTTATTTCTGTTATTATATATCAACCTATGTATGAATTATCCTTTTACTCTCATCAAAAATTTCAGAATCTAACATATTTTTGTCTGTCAAAGAAGGCATTTCATTAGCATCTTTTTACACGAAAAACTTCTTCTCAATTAAGGTATTTAATTGTCTACTTGATGTTTGATTTTTGAATTTATCTACATAATATATATATATATCATTTATTACCTTCATAAACTTTAACTAATTCTTCAATATTTTATTTAATTTTCTATTATTCAAATACCTAATCAAATTTTTCTTGTGATTATGTAAAATAATTAAAATCTGATTTTTACATTGAAATTAATGTTTGACATGATTATTCTTTTGTAGCATATTCTAGAAAATCTAAACCTGTAATTTAAGCAAAACAAGCAACCGTAATTATTTTATCCATATTCATTACCATATTGTCCATTTCTATAATATTCTTATCATCCATAAGTTCTTCTATTACTTCATCTCGTTCTTCTTCTGAAGATGATTCTTATTTAACAACTTAGGATTATAAAGAATTTTATAGAGAATCTGTTTTTTAGGGCATGATTGAATTACGTCCTTATTTTAAATAAAACATTGAAGGAGCATTATTTATACTATTTTATTTGCTCAATTAATGTTTATCTGATTAATTAACAATTATTTCATTATGTGGAATAGCCACTTAAGAAAATCGATGTTTTTTTTCATTCTACAATTTTTTTGTCAATAGTTCTATTTCACTATTAGCCTACTTTAGTTTTTTAGTTAAAAATGCTACAATTTTTTTTAGATCATTAGATTACAATCTCATTTTTCCAAATTAATCTTCTAATTCTTTATAATCATCTTTGAGTACATGATTCTTTTTATTTTCTGTAATCAATTATTCATTTAGCTTTTTGACTTCTGCTTTAAGACTTTCAATTTCATAACTAAATATTTTAGATTATGTTGCATATTCATCTAACATTTAAATTTTACCTTTAGAAATGAACATATCTGTTTAAAATTTCATATCATTAATCATATTAACTACTTTAGTCCAAATTTCTTCAATTAACAATCCTCTCTCAAAACATTCAAATTTAATTTACTTTATTAATTCTTTAATAGTAACTGATAACAAATTTAAAGTATCTGGTTAATCATCTTGTTTTTATTTGTCAAACCATTCTTTTAATTTTATAGTCTAGACTCTGCCCATAGGAGCATCAGTTTACAAATTACGAATTTCTGAATTGAGAGAAGTTTCAAATTTTAAATATTCATTCATATCTAAAAGTGATAATTGAGGTGAACTCATTTATGATATCTATCTTCTATTAAGTAATGGTTTTTTTCTTTCTAATCTTTTTTTTTCATCTAATAAATTATCAGACTTCTTTCTTTCTGCTTTAATTGGATCATAATAATGACTAACATCCTCTCTAACTCTAGACATAACTGAGATCTATTCCTTCCTGTCTTTTTCTAACAGAAGATTAGCTTATTTCTTATTCTTAGTAAATTTTACAAATTCTTCAAGATCTAATTGATTACGAAAAGTAGTTTTATTGCTCAATTGTTTAGTACTATTTTAGACAACTGAATTGAGAAGGAAACTATTTTGTTAACTCTTTTGTTCCGCCTTAGCTAATTTCAATTATTCTGCTATATGAATATTATTTTAAGTGACTGTAGTATTGTTGCTTCTAGTTGATATCTATTGACTACTGATTTGCTTTAATAAAGAATTCGTATGAGATAGAGTTTTAAATTTTAAACCAGTTTCTGTGAAAGAAGGTAATTATTATTACTTCATTGAATAAATTATCAGTTGTTTTAAGATAATATATCTTGGAATGAGTGAAATATTCAATCTTTTCATGATCAGATGCATAAATGTGCATCTTAATCAAACTTTAAGATGGGAACATTAAAATGAATTTTTCATTTGTATATAATTGTTCATATATAATAAAAATGATTAACTTAAGTTAAATACTAGAAGGAGACAATGGGGAGATTACATTTTGTGAAGATGCTAGTCAAGCTGATTTAGAAGATATTCTATAAGAAGATGATGAGATGAGAGAGTAAATCAATCATTTGAATAGTGATTCCTAGACTCTGGAAAATAATAATCAGAATAATGAATCATTCATATGTGATTAAGAAGAATTCATTTCACCAATTCAAATAATGTCTTTGGGACATTAATCGAAAACCTTTGGCATATCAACTAATTATTTAATCAATTATTGGGAGTAATAACTTGAATTATTCTCGAATAATAAGAATTGCAAAACTATACAAATTTAGGATGTGTCATATATATCAATCAAAGGATAAATAATAGCTGTTGGATTTGAGAATGGCTAAATTCACATATATGAAGGAAATCAATTAAAACTATTACATAAAATACAAGAACATTAAACAACAATAATTGGTTTGAATATAATTGATGTGTAAGCAAATGAAGTAGTGATAGCATCATCTGATTTAGATGGTAATGTCAAATTGATTAGAGCAGGTTAAAACTTATTCAGAAGTAAAATAATAACTAATACTATAATGAATAAGTTCGAATACCCTGTTACTTAATTGATATCATAGCAATTTAAATATTCAGATAGTGATAAAACTAGTTTACTATTAACACTAGGTAATAGCAATATGGTAATAACTTTATCAATTAATCCTGAAGTAAGGGTTGTACATGTTTTTGATAAATAGAAATCAAATAATGATCTTCATTGGGGTAAATTTCATTATGAAGGTAATTAAATCTAATTGTTATCCATTTAATGGAATTCATTTATTTAATTGATAACCTTTTTGGAAAATTCTCCATGGTATTTTTCATTCTATTCTGCTGATACACCATTGATTGGAGCTAAATTCATTTCTGATAACCTAATTATTGCTGCAACTGAAGGTTAATTTCAAGTTCTTTACATTCCTTATTTCTCAAAAGGCAAATATTGTTTTAAATCTGATAGTAAAGCTAAGATTTCCAACACAAATTTCCATCAAAATATATATTGTCTAAGAGTAATAAGTAATGTAATTTATTTCATATCTGAAAATAAATTATATTCATTACATGCATTAAGTTGGTTATAATATTTGAAAACATTAATACAAAACGATACACCATAATGGTCAATAGCATTAAGATTTTTGATCTAAGTATATAGAGGTAAAGTTAAAGGCATGCCTAATTTGGAATTAGATGAAGATAGAAATGCAATTTAAACATTAGCTCCTACTTTAATTACTAGTATTTCTAATACTAAAATGAATAGAGAATTGATATCAGCAGTTGTTTAATTTATTCTTTTATGTTAAATTCCGTAACATTTGATGATAGTACGATAAGGGTGTGAGAAATAATAAATTTTGGAAGATTATTATAGAGTTTTGGAACTACATTTAAAGAAAATTACATAATTGCCAAAGGAGATATTTTTTGATTTAGCAAATAAATTCTCTCCTGAGTCTTTCTAGTAATTAGTAATAAATTTGGATTTAAATTCAATTGATATTGGATATACATATGATGTATGTTTAAGTAAAGAGATTTACACTCCATTATTGTATATATGTCCAAGAAAAGAAGAAGATTTTATAACTCCTTTGAATAAAATGTTTGAGAAACATAAATATGAACTTTATGAAAAATGTTTATGGTTTATAGAAATTACATAAAAATAAATTCTGTTTCCAAATGATCAGATACCATTAGAAATATGGAAAAAAGCTGTAAGATAATAGATGTTATGGTTGATGGAAGTGTTAGATGTGTTTTAAAGTGAGAAATTGTTTCAAATTTTAACAACTTATCTTAAATAACCTTGTTTAGGTGCATTACATCATGAATCTGTTTATTCATATTTTAACATAACTTAAGAGAATTAATTGGCAACAAAGATATTTGAATAAGTAAGTAATATTAAATAATAATATTTACTATAATATCTATTATTTATTAGTAAAATAATTGATTAGATTAAAGTTAAAGATTCAGAGAAATTATTATTACAAATATTTGAAATCAATAAATCTTATATTGATAATTATGTAGCAATGCCTGAAGATTTAGATTAGATCTTATAAATTATTTATTATTTAATGCCTCATACATAATTAATTGAGTAAGCATATGAAAGCAAATGTGTTGATTACATAGCTTATTATTTCTTATCTTAAAATTAATTTAATGAAGCCATTAAAATATTCTTCGATTATGAAGAATTCAAACTTAGAGTCTATAAATGGTTAGAATATCAACCCTATAATCCTTTAATGTTGGATCATTTAGATAAACTACTTGAATTAGATCCTGAGAAATGTGCAAAAGTCTTTCAAAGTTGGCCTATAGAAACCTTATAGAAACTCATAATTTATCAACCAAAAAGGGAATTATTACATGTATTCAAATATTTATCTATTGATCTTTCTTAATTTCTTTAATTAAAATTGATTGAATTGATAAGTATTCATGAACCAGAAAACACTATTTCATGGTTGAAGAATAAATAATATTAATTAGAAGATGTGGAATAAATATTTTAATAAACTAATAATATTGAAGGATTAGGATATATAATGGAATAGAAAGGACTATATCAATAGGCTATTGATAATTACCTTTAAATTTATAAAGAGGAATCTAGAAATTACATTTTGACATTTCGAAATTAAGATAGAATAACATAATTATTCTAGAATCTAATGAGAGCTACAAAAATAGCTGTATAATCTGATGATTATAACTAAGAATTATATTTGTATATAGCACATTAAATCTTCAATCCTTTAATGCATTAAACTCATTGGTGTAAACTCAAGAGATCATATGTGTTTAATCAATAATTTAGTTAACTTTTTATGCATTTATTCCGTTATTCTCCAACAGAATTAATTAAAATAATAGAGATAAATCATGAGACATTTAATCAAGTTCATTTAAAAAGTAGTTTTATTACTGTTTTTAAAGAATTTGGATATGAAAAATAATTAGTAGAAAAGATATCTAAGATTATTAGAAATGATAATATTAAATTGCTTAAATTACTATATTCATTAATGAATAAATCAAATTAATATGAAATAAACTGTATAGAGTGTTAATAACCATATACTTAAGATTAAGTCATTCTTTTAAAATGTGGCCATACTATGCATCCATTTTGTCTAGAAAATAAGTATTGTCCAATATGTTAAAATATATCAACTTAATCATGTATATATTATTATTATTATTAATAGTGCTTGAAAGTATTGGAGTTGAAGAATTAAAAAAATCTATTTTGAAATCTAATGTTGATAATTAATAATTATAATTATTAAAGAATGTTGATGAAATAGATTTTGAAGATAATTTCATATAATCAACTACATAAGATGATAAAGAAATAATGGAATTAAGATTATTAAATAAAATGGATATATATGATTAATTAATTGATTCTGGATTGCAATAGGTATTCAAATTATATAATTTTAGTATAATTCATTTCTAGATTAATATTTTTGATTACTGTCTCACTTTTTGATATACTTTTTATATTTTTATATATTTGTGTATATAAATAAAAAAATGCAGTTATAACATATAATTTAACATAGTAATTAATTTAAAAAAAAAGACCAGAATTCTACATAATGTTTTGTGAACACAAAGGAATATAATCATTTTGTATCACTTGTCAATAAATAATCTGTGAATAATGTATTTGTTGTAGTAATCCAAAAAAAATAAATTTACCCGACAATGATTTAAATGCACTTTGTTCAAGATGTGATTAAATCCAAGCTGAATTAAGTTGTGAATAATGCAAATTTCAATTTTGTTAAGAATGTTTTCAATCAGTTCATAACATAGGGAAATTCTCAACTCATATCAAAATTGCAATCAATTAAGTATTACACTAATAAATAGTTAAATAATTATAAATTATTACAGAATTTGAATAATACTCTTAAGAACAAATTGCTTCAGTTCTGAGATATTTTGATTAGATTTAAGAAGTATTAGATAGGAAAAAAAAATAATTAATTGATTGTATTTCCAATTATCGTAGTTAATAAATGAAAATGCTTAAATAAAGAATAAATATAATTGAAGCAGCTGTCAAAATAAATTCAGAACAATCTTTTGAAATCCCAGAATGTCTAATTTATTAAAAAGAAACATTTAATTTAACCGCAAAAGAATAAATTATCGAGTTTATATTAAATATTGATTTTTAAAAAAACCTTGATTAAAGTACAATTAGTCCACGTCGAATTCATACTTAATCAAGTGTTAGAAGAAGTGCAAGTTGTAGAAAATTAGATAATTAAGAAAAAATTATTGAAGTTTGTGAAACTTTTGAAAAGAGAAAATTTATTAAATAATTATGCTAATCAAATTCTATTTAGTTATAATGGACTCATTCTAAATAAAAGGTTGATTATAATTTAGAAATGGGTATAGGAATGAAAATCAAAGGAATTGAATAGTTTAAATAAATTTATAAAGGTATAGAGCCATAATTTACAATCACTGGATTATAAACAAAAACTAATTATAAATTTAGAGTTTAAAGTATATTTGAAAATAAAACAAGTGAATTTAGTGAAATTTTAAATTTAACTACATCTTAATAATAATCTGTTGAAGATAGTTTAATAATATCTAAAAAACTAATTAATAATGATATTTAAGTATAATTTGAGAAACCTGGATTAGTTTTAGGCACTAATCCATTATATTTTGGAGTATGGTCTTGGGAAATCAAATTAATAATTAATGGAATAATTGAAGATTTAACAGCAAGTTTGGTTGTTGGTGTAGCTAATAAATAGAGAAAGATTATTGGAACTACATTAAATTATGGTTATTAAAGAGAATCCTTGATTATTAAGGTCTTAGTTGATATGGACAATAAATGGATGAGTATAACTTCGAAAATGCATCCAAATGGAGAGAGATTCTAAAATTTAATAGGTCCTGTATTTCCAGCATTTTAGAATAAAAATACTCATAAAGGATCAGGATGTAAATTATTGATATAATATTAATAATTATGAATAAAAAAGAATTGAGGAAACTTAATTCATATGTAGATAAAGAAGTACTCAATCTAACAGGTGGCCTCTATCCATGTGCTCTTTTCTCATAAACAAAACCTCTAAATCATTAGAAATGGGCTCAAGAAGATATATTATTAACTAATTAGAAAATTTAAAAAGTAAAGGTGTGGGTACCTGAATAAGAAAGAGGATAAATGTTTACTGGAGAGAAAGTCAATTATGATCCAGAATATCTTGATTTTAAGGAAGGAGAAATAAGTGTTGATAATGATTGGAGTTTTGAAGAGACATAATATTTATTCAATTAATTAAGGAGCTACAATTACAATTTTATAGTACTTTCTGATAGATATTAATATCAAAATAAAAATAGAGATATTTATGAATTGAAAGATAGATATTATAGTATTGTTAATGAGGTATTATAGAAAAGAAATGAAACATCTCATTTTCTATACAATTATGTTTATGATGAAGAATATGATCGATTTAGAAATATGGAACTTGAAAAATATTTAAAAAGAACAAAATAAATATGTGATGAAGAAAAGAAGTTGCAAGAAGATTTAAAGAAAGTTGATCAATAAATAAAAAAGTAAGAGAGGGAACACAAAAGTTTATGCAAATCTATAAATATATAAGAATATGATGTAAAATGTATTTATCATATAGAACATTGATGATTAATCTATCAATTATATTATAGATATGTCATAAAGAAATGAGGAAGTTAAAAAGACTACAACAGAGAGAATAGTTTATTTAAGAAATAAATGGATTAATGAAGCATTACCATTACCTAATTCAATCAAAGATAAATTAGATCGGTAATTAAAAGAAGTGCTTTAAAATACTAAATTAGCTTTAAATTAAGAAATAGAAGAATTATTCTGTAATCTACGTAAACTTTAATTGGGTGTATTGAGTTAATAAAGATTATAAAAAAGAAGAGAATAAGATAAAAAACATTTGGAAGATAAAATTAAAAAACTTAAAGCTTAACATGATTCACAATAAGCTAGTGATATGAAAACTAAAAAATGAGATAATTAATATTTTAATAATAATTAATATTGGTTTCATTGTTTTACTATCTCAGAAAATTCGTGTTCTTTGGCTAAGCAAATTCAAATTAAACAAAACAGTTACTTCTTTTTTCTAATAATGATCTAAAATATTTTGCAGAGAAGTCTACAATATCTCCTGGCTTGTTTCTAATAACTTCCTTTGCATAATGTTTCAATATCACTGGTAATTCAGGAGGTACTACAATCTATTCAGCACAATAAATTCTCTATTCTCTCACGTCTGCCATTATATTATATATTAAATTAATTAATTAAATTTCATAATTTCATTTAGTTAAATAGATGAGTAAATCATAAAAAATTTACATTTGCATATCTTATTATTATCTATTCAATAATTAAGATTATTATCTTCCTTATTCAATATATTAAAGCTTTCATAATCTGTTTGAATTAATTCCTAACAGCAATTATAAATAATATATATTTTAAATTAAATAAATATAAATATACATCTATTATAGTATCTAAAAATAAGATAATAATAGAATCTAACTAATAAAAATATTGATAATATCATTAGAATTACTAATATAATGAGTTTAATTCATAAAAATAACATAAAAATAAAGATCAATAATGATAAAATATTGGAATAAAATTCTTCTATACTTATATCAGTACTTAAATCTATTATTTCTTTTTAACCTTTTAAACATTTCATTTATAATGGTTCATAATAACATTCCTATTTTCGAGCAGTACATTCTTCAGAATCAATTATCTTAATACATTCTATGACACATTACTCAACAATAGTATTATCCTCTATCATTTGTGTACTCCAATAACAACGATCCTAGGCCTATAAACATTCAATCTTTGTTAGGAAAGAAGAACATAAGATTGAAACACATTTTCCATTAACATAAGAACAAATCTATTATTAATTTTCACATTAACATTTTTCTATAATTTATTCGCATTATTAACATATTAATGAACTAGAAAGTATACATGAGTAACCATTTATTTCATTTCCATGACATAATTTTTTTGATGATCCATACAATTAACATGGTTGATTTGTACATACTTCGGTAGTATCTAAAATACCCATTTTTTACCAATTACATCTAAAACCTTACACAGTTAATTGATTACAAATATTCATAGGAGATTCTTCATAATTATTTATCTAAGAACATGAAGTTAATATTTAACATATATTGTTTTAATCTAAATAGCAATCACCTATTTTATTACAATCTTCGATACTGTAATAAGAACAGGTTTTTTATTTACATATTCCAAATTCATAAATACATTTAGGATTTGAACAATCTGAGTATAAACAATATAAATCTAGATTATTTTATGAAACACACTGATTCCCTGCTTAAATACATTGATTTGAATTTATAGAAAATGAAGAACATGGTAATTTTGAATCAATAATATCTTCACATTTACTTGCTGATTGACAATCATTAAAGATAGTTAAGTAACAATTTTTATCATCTAGAATAGAATTACATTCTTATTCTTATAAATGATAACATTATTTTCTGATACATTAATTACCATTGAAATAACAATTTATATTCCTTTTGCATTCATTAATTTTATCGAATTTGCATATTTCTGATTAGAATTCTATGCATTTACAATTTAAATTTTCTTAATTCCAATTACAAAGAGAATTAGTTTCACAAAATTTTTTATTCTTTCCAGGAATATTACATTAATCAGATTGATAGATTGGAATATCACATTTTAGTCTAATTGAATCATATATACAATTTTAATCAATTATTGAGGCACAAGCCAAAGCATTTACATTATTAATCATTATACAATTGGACTAATAATCAATAAATTTCTAACATTTATTATTCATAAAGATACATGGTTCTTATTACACCATACTACATCCTTTTAAATTTAATCCAGCTGTATCACATTTGAGTGACCATACATTAAACTAGCTAATGCATTAGTTTAATTTATTATTATATAAACAAGGGATTTCAGGAATACTTTAACAAGTAATTGAATTTACTTTTAATTATGAATCACACCTTATTGTTATTTTTAATTCTTCACAATTATTTGATTCATTCCAATACATAGGTTTTTAGTTATTTTGAAGACATGCTAATTTAGATAGACCAGAAATGTAATTATTATTATCTGTTTCAACACAACTAAATGTATTTTTATCATGTATACAAATTTAATCTGATATCATTTAACAAACATGTGGTGAAATTAATTAATAATCTGAACATTTATTTTATTTGTTATCTTAAACAAATTCTTAACATTAATTAAATTATTCTAACCATTAACAAGATTTATTAGAAATAGATAAACAAGTTATTTTACTTATACCAATTGATTTACAATCTATTAGTAATATATCTTTGAT